ATATAATCAATTCCTTTACTTACTGCCATCCCATCTATGATGTAAATCCATGAATCCAGAAGAGATCAGCTAGCCCCTGATCTACTTCACTTCTTTATCTGGAACTCACCAAAACACTGCATATGGTTCTCATGGGCCTGAACTCATCCACCTTAAAAGCCCATCCCTCAAGCCGAATTTTCCATTCCTGAGCCAGACATTAACATATAAGCAGGAATATCCCAGTTGCTTAACATAAGCTTGCTATTAAAAAAAATTACTTTTCCTAGGTGAAAATGAAAACAGACTGTAATACAAAGTTAAACTATAGTATAGCTACTTCTTTAGAGAAAATCAGCTAACAGTATTACAGCACATATTTGTAAGAGTATAGTTTGAAAGCCCAAGGGTATTTAAAAAAATTACAGAAACCACAGACTTTACAGATGAAAATCATCGCTTTGTTTTTATGTCTTTCTTAGAGTATCAGCTCTCTTAACACAGTGCTATATAAGAATTCTGAAAAGATATGAAGCAAAAAGTACTGTTCAACTTCACGTTAAACATGAAATAAAACATCAAATAAAACACAATGAGAACTCCACTTACTGGAGCTGCTGGTGCATGGGCAAAGCAATTTGTGGTGGCACATTAATGAATCTTTCACTCAGAAGCAGACCCACAGGCTTAGTATCATCTTTCAGGAGCTTATCCAGCTGTTCAACTACATGCTGTTCACAGCTCTTCTCACACCGACTCAGAATCAGCTCTTTGATTTGCTCAGCACACTGTGTACCCTAGAATCAAAAGGTATGCTTCCTTTGCATTACACAACAATTATTTACACAAGAAAATCGTCAAAGTGAACTTCAAGGGAGCATCCAAGAGTCCTACAGACAATTTCCTTAAGCGGTCCCTAAAGCACTGTAAGATTCCTCTGCTATTTACCAGCCCCAAAGCTGAGAGCAAACAAAAGTCCTTAACTGACAGGAATGCAGTTATGACACCAGGACATTTAACAGCAAAATTCAAAAGGTGCTCAAGATGGAAGTGCAGAAATGTAAGAGGCTGACAGCTCAGCTGCCCTGCAAATACTTGTCAGACCAGTCCCAATTCTCTGTTTCAATCCTCTGACCTTCAGCAAGTTATGCAGGACTGGATGCAAAAGCAAACTAAGTGATGCAGAACTTCTGAGACCATAATCCTCCATGGCAGAATTCAGAATCCTGATCCAACTATCTCAGCATGCTGTTCCAGGCAGAAAAGCAGAACATAGGCACGCTTACATCTGCCTAGAAGTTAATCAGGAATACCAACCTTCCTTTCAGCTAAGTTTAAGAAGCTTATAAAACCAAAGACTTCATCATCATCAACATCGTCATCATCACTGCTGTCTTCTTGGACTTCTGCTTGCTGTTTGATGAAAGAAAGAGAAATGATTCATACTGACATTCCATTTTCACTCCTTGCACCAAAATATATTGTGTTTTGTTTTGTTCTTTTTTTCAGAAGATGCTCTTCAGATGACAACTATGTAGGCAACCTGTGTCAACACACAACCTACAAATTCTGGTTATGGTTATGAGAGTGCTACAGCACTGAATGGCTTGATGCACTTAGAGCCGGGTGTATACAGAGCCAGGCCATGTACCTTCTACAGCACTATCTTTTTAATAGCATTAACGTTTGAGTGTTGCATTTAATAAGCAGCATCTTTGTACAAAGGATGGCACTATCTTATGCATAACCAATTTTCTTCAGTTTTTAACGCAGGGAGATATACCTGCGAAGTCTGAAAACGTAGAGCTTTAACAGAGTGTAGAAACAAGCACAGCAACCCCCACAGAAAACACTTGGCCAAAGAATAGAGGCTATCATGCACTTGTTACCTAAGAATCACATTAACATTGGGCAGAAAAATTCAGGTCTCATTTTAGGGTCCATTCCTAAGCCCACAGAGCTCTGCAGAGTACTGAGGAAACCACAAGAGGAAATTGGAGGTTGTGGATGTCCCATCCTTGCAGGCATTCAAGGCCAGGCTGGATGTGGCTCTGGGCAGCCTGGGCTGCTGGTTGGCGACCTGCACACAGCAGGGGGTTGGAACCAGGTGAGCATTGCGCTCCTTTGCAACCCAGGCCATTCTGTGATTCTATGACTCTATAAATTGCACATGGGGGTGTTTTTCACCTACATCTATTTCCTGAGATTGCAGGGAAATTGTATGGCACTGCTTCTTACTGAGAGTAACAAACTCCTCCATGGTCTTTTCATCATAATTGCTCTACCGGTCCAAAGTTCAAGAAGAAGACTGAAGAGAATTCATATGTGAAAAGAAAGCAACCAAAATAATCAACCAACTTCACCGTTTGGTTTAAATCCAGCATGGAAAATATCAGGTCCAACAAGAGAATTATTCCCAAAACAAAGAAACAAGCAAGTTACAAACAACGTTAAGGACAAGATTCGCTTCCAGAAGCGCATAACTGCATTTCAAATACTTAATTCAGAAGAGCCATTTCTGTCTTACCTTGATAACACTTCCAACGTGATTCTGTTGTATTAAGATATCAGTTAACTCAGCAGTGTTAACAGGAGCTTTTAGAAACAACTGGAAAATAAAAAGCAGGGATTACAGACGTTTTAGACCCGGCGTTGCGTGTGGCGGTGTGAGCTGACGGCTGCATACAGCTCCATTAATGAACCGAGGCATCAGCCCTGCTAACGGCAAAGCACAGCACCTGCTGCAGCAGCTTCTTTATCCCGTTGTAGTCGTTGTCTGATATCGAATGCGCTTCAAATTCAACGTTCACTTCCTACAAAAAAAGCAGAATGCAGAAAGTTAAGCGTAACTGCCTAGAAGCTGGAGTAAAACCGAGCCAGGCTGTAAGGAACGCGAAGGTTTGCTCCCCCGCCCCGTCTTTTGCAGGGGAATTTCTCCTAACAGCCAAACGGAACCCGCCGCTCACCTCGTCGACCTGCTCGTCCTCCTCGGACTCTGAGTCGCCCGATTGCGGCTCCGAATCCGATTCCGAATCTCGCTCCGGAGCTGCAGGCCGCGCTCTGCGTTTAGCCGGCGTGGCCATGTTGCCGCTGTGCGCATGCGCGGCGGAGCCGGAAGGACGCGCGGAGG